TTTTTTATTTTTTAAGAGACAAAGTCTTGCTATATTGCCCAGGCAAGCTTCAAACTCCTGGGCTCATGTGATCCTCCCACTTTAGCCTCCCAAGTAGCCAAGGCTATCGGTATGCACCACTTCACTCAGCTTGTATGCAGATTTTAAAATTTATTTCCTTTCAATTCTCTTCTCTCCAAGATTTTGCTCTGCATGTCCCAATTATATTGGCATATCTAAAGACTGACTGCTATCTTTTCGATGCACTAAAATGACCACTTTCTACTTGTGATCTATTCTCCCACACCTCAGACAAAAGCCAAGATAAAGGTAGAGCTTCCCTTCTTTCAGGGATTATAGCCATTCAAGTCATGCCTATATTGGCTACTCACCAATTCCTTCAATAGCAATTTTATATATTTTTGGCAGCTTTAATAGTTGATTTTCATAAGAAGATTAGTCCAATACAAGTTACTCAATCACGGGCGAACCAGAAATCATCAGGTTATTTTAAAATCTCTGTCTGATAATCCTAACAACTAGTACTCCTCTGTGTATGTTTGTACTGCTTATTGTTTCTGCTAGTTTTCATTAATTTTTGTCTTTCTCTTTGTGTGCCTGGTGATTGAAAATTGTTTACTATATAATACTATATTTGAGGGATTGTTTGTAGAGATAATGGAAGTCTAAGATGATGTAATCTTTCTTCAAAGATATTTTTCACTTGTTTCTGCTAGGTAACTAAGGTGAAAGCACTTAAAATAGTGCCCGTCACATGGCAAATAGTTAACTCATATCATGTCTGTTTGCCCCACCCAGATTAAGAATATATCAGCTTTTATACTCTCAACATCAGTAATGTCTGGTTCATGGTCAATAGTTTAAAAATAGCTTCTGAGTAAATGGCTTAAAGGAACTGAAAATGAGGTGAGACGTGTAGTATGTATGTGTAAATCACATACACACATATAAAAATACAAAATCAAAAGTATTTTTATAGAGAGAGAATCTTGTATAGAGTTTCTAAAAGAATTGTACAAACTTAGCATTTACCTTCAGTTGGTTTTGGAGTGATGTGCTTTGGGGCAGTCTCTATATTTTCATTTTCTGTTACAAGAGTTTCTAGAAAAAAAAATGAGACAACTTTTGGATACTTACAAAAATTCATATGAGTGTCTTATGACTTCAGTGTAATTGTTCATCATTTAATTAATTAGGTTTATCCTTGAAAATCCATCAGCATTGGTGTTCTACTTCTGGAGTTCATCTAGATCACTTTCTGAATGAATGTTCATTCTCACTGCTTATTTAGCTTTTCTGATCCTTTGAGTTCCCTTGTTGGTTCCCATTACCACAGTCTGAATAGAGTACTCAATTTGACCTTGGCAGATCTGCAACGTCAGGCCTTCTGTTATTGCCCTATGGCCCTAGAATTCAATGTGTAGACAAAAGATAATTCCATCTTCCCACCTTGAAAACCCAATAGGGGTTGGGGGCATCATTTGTTTGTATGCCTCCTCTCCCCTTTGCTCTACTTGACTCCATTATTATAAACCATGTTTAAATTGTATTTACCTATTATAGACTGCGCATGAGGTTTTCTTGGTAAAACTGGTGTTGGTAGGGAAATGCCATCTGGAAATTGAGCAACACCTAGTTTCCATGCAGAACTTTGTGTTAAATTGTCAGGCCTATTGCTTTCCGGTTTAGCAGATGCATTACTAGGTAGAGGGCTTAACACTATTTCACTGAAATCTGTCAAGATGTGCTGATAAGTATAGCTTGGGCTCTTCGGCAAAGGTTGATACTTGGGGTATGCTTTCTTGAGTTTGGGAGGGATGATTTCGCAAGAAGTAATTAGAGGCTTAGAGAATACTGAAGAAAGAATTAAAATGTGTGGTAGACTTTTGCTAGTATAAACCTCTTTTACCATCTTTTTTGACTTCCTTGATCTTTTTATTTGGCATGTTTCTTTCCCAAAAACTCGAGTGGAAGCTGAATAACAACTTGGGAAAAATACGGAACCAGTAGCAGTATCTGGAATGTGCCAGTGGACATTCTTAGTAGATTTTGGGCGTGTTGAAATTGTAGTCATTCTTTCTTGTACATGATAATCAAAACATAAATTTTGAATTTTGACAGGTATTGGTGATTTATTTCTTGAAACAACATCAGGAAAACTAGTTTTATCTCTTTTAATTGAAATGGTTTCATCTTGAGTGAACACTACATGTGGTGACTTAGTTTCACCAGTCTTGGCTATACCAAAAAAGGAAAAAAAAAGAAAAGAAAAATTAGATTTTATTTATCAAGATATCAGAGACAAAACTTTTAATGTCTTAGCATTCACAACTTTTCTTTACCCACTCACCCCTCTCTCACCTTCTAAAATTGCTTCTATTTGTACTTAACTACCAGCACTTCTGTTGAGCTGCCTGGGATAAAGTTTGAGTAACCAACTGGAGAAGTGAAAACACTAAATTGTATTAGATTTAGAAAGGGTAAGGAGCTACTCTTGGAAGAACAGAATTGTAGGAGAGAAGAGTGGGCTATAAGAAAATA